TTTTTTTTTTTTTTGGACACAGGGTCTTGATAAGTCATTAAGTTGCTCAGGCTGGACTCAAACTTGGGATCCTCCTGACTCAGCCCCTAGATTACAGGTGTGCACCACCATGTCTGGCTTCAAACACCTTTTTATTGACATACAATGTGCCCACAAAAGGAACATCAGATGACTTCTTCCCTCCTGGAAGAATCTGTGCAAGCTGGAAGAGGGATGCCAGGTGGTCCTGAGGGATGCTGGGAGGAAAGTTAGGAAGCACGTGTCACGTCTGGTGAGGGATTTGGGGGTTGACAACTTTGAGTCTCTCCTCCTGCTTCCAGGGTCTTTTGGGTCCCATTGGACCCAGATGGAGAGTCTTTGGTGGGCCACCGACTGCAGCATCCAGGACACTTCCGGCATCTCTTCCTGCCCTTGCGAAAGGCCCAGCTTGAATCTGTCCCTTTGACTTGGGGGGAGCCCCACCCTGCTTTGGCCTCACTTCAGGAGGCAAATATTTCAATTATGAGGACGTGGCCAAGCGCCGCCCACTTGAGGCAGCCTCGGTGACCAGGCGTCCGGTGGGATGCAGCGGGGAGAGCCGCAGACGGTGGGATGGGGACCGAGCGGGGGTTAAGCGAGCAGACTGGCCTGCTTTGCTGGCTGAGAGCAAAACTGCTGGTGGAGAGGAAAATATGCGAGGCATTTTTGTAATTCCAGGCGGCTTGGTCCAGCTCCTGCCCAGACGGTCAATGAATCAAAGCCGGGAAGGCTCTACCTGTCAGCAGGGGCTCTCCTGGCCCTGTCCTCCAGGCTCCAAGCCTCTGTGCCCAGTGGGCCAGCCGGAACTCTCTCAGCTCCCCAGAGTAACGGTGTGTCACAGGTAAGAGCCAGACATGGGTGGCCCATGGGCTTAGATGTTCCATGTCCCCTGTCTGCTCCTGCTCTTGTCCCATCTTGCTCAGCTGGGTCTCTGGGATCCCTGCTGCAGTGGCTTATGGTGACCTCCCAAAGATCTGACAGATCCTAATGCCCAGAACTTGTGAATGTGAGCTTATTTTGGAATACGAATCTTTGTAGATGTCATGAAGTTAAGTCTCTCAAAATGAGATCATCTTAGATTATCCAGGTGAGCCCTAAGTCCAAGAAGAAGTGTCCTTAGGAAAGACCACAAGGGAGAGAAGAAGGAAGGTCATGCGTACGCAGAGATGGCCGAAACAGCCACAAGCCAAGGAACACCCGGGCTATCAGAAGCTGGAACAGGTCAGGAAGGACTTCCCTCTAGAGCCTTTGGGGAGAGCCTGGTTTTGCTGACACTGTTATTTTAGGCTGCTGGCCTCCAGAGCAGTGGCACTCTGTGAGCAGTGGTCTCCAGAGCAGTACCCCTTTTGCGGTACTGTGTTCTGGTAGCCTGAGGATGATGCTATGGTTTGGATAGCTGTCCCCCAAGTGCTCAGATGTTAAAGGTTTGATTGCTGGCCTATGGCTGTACGAGGAGGTGGTGGCACCTTTAAAAGCGAGAGGTCTTACGTCACTGGGGTGCCCTCAAAGTGGATTGCGGGAATCCAGTCTAGTTCTACCTCCCTTTTTTTGATTACAGGTCACCATGGGGTGAACAGCTTGCTCCACCATGGAACAATGATGTGCTGCCTTACCACAGGCCCAGAAGCATCAATGCCAACCGACCATGGACTGAAAGTTCCACATCTGCAAGCCAAAAAAGCCTTTCCTCTCTTTAACTTGATTGTCTCAGGTATTTTGCTATAGTAACTGAAACAGACTAGCACAGGCACTAATATACCCACTCAGAACTTTCCAGCACCTCAGTGCCACCTGTGTCAAATGTGTTCAAATTGGCTTCCACTTGGCCGGAGGTCGTCCCTTCCACTCTATGTCCCTGACACCACCCTACATTTCCCTGTGTAACAACAGCTTTTGTGCTCCTCTTCAAGTTTCCAGGGCTGATCAAACTACCTCCTCACTTCAAAAGCCTTCAAAATTCCTGCACAAACTCTAAACAGTGTAAGGTCAACTCCTTTTTGTAGACTAAAGCCCAGGCCCCAGCTTCAGGGCTTGCTTTGTTTGTGCAACCTGGGTCACTGTGCAGGGACCTCAAACAAGTGTTCTGAGCTTGTTCATGGTCATTGTTGTTGTCTTGAAATGCTTGCTTTGGAACAAGGGGCCTGGTGTTTCCATTTTGCAAATCGTGTGGCTTGTCCCGGTCATTTTAACCTTGTGGGCTCACCTCTTTTTTCATGTGGCTTCCCTCTGGCTATTACAGTGGTTTGGGAATCTGTTAAATGTCATGTCCTTTCACCTCTCCACAGCTTTGCTCTGGCTTTTCCCTTTGTCTAGAATGTCACTTCTCCTCTGCTATGTGGAAAATTCTCTCTGGCTTTTTTAGGGCCTGCTCAGTTGTTACCTCATCCACAAAGTGTCCCTTGACCCCTTTAGGTTGGCGTCTCCTAAAGTTCATTTTAGCTCCAACTGTATGTTTTTTTGGGGCCTTAGAATTCACCAAGCTCTTTCTTCACATGATCATTGTTCACAAGGACCTACTGTGTATTGAGCACCTACTATGCACAGAGCACACTACAGGTACATGACATAGGTCATAGCAATAATACCTTCCATTTATTAGTGGCCCGTGGTAGACACTTAACTGTGTTACACTATATCAAATGAGCATGGATCAGCCAGGTCCACACCCCTGGGGTCTTAGAAATACAGACTCAGCCCCACTTCAACCAGTTCAGATAGAATTTGCATCTCAATGGGATTCTCAGGGGCTCTGTTCTGTGTTCCTGTCCCCATCAGGCAAAGGCTGAGGCTCAGTGCCCCGCATAGCACCAGGACTCTGATAGGACTGGATTTGAATCCTAGCTTTGCTCTTTTCAACTGTGGGAGCTTAGGTCAGTTTCCCAAATTCTTCTGTGTCTCAGTTTCCTTTGCCAATGACCCTTCTATGGTCATTAGGAGAAGTGGATGGGTAAGACGTGCCACACAAGGCAAGTGGGCCAGGTAACACTTTAATTTAATGTCCTTGTCTCCTCTCTCTGCTTGTCCCTGTCCCTGCCTTCGCCTTGATTCATTTCTGGAACTCTCACAGCCTCCCCGCTGACCCACCCGCCATGGCAACTAACCCACCATGGCAACCATCCTAAGGGAGGCCTCTGATCTTCTCTCTGCGCAGCAGAGGAGGTATCAGTGCGGGAAGCCTTTACCATCTCCCTCACCCTGTTTAGCCTCCCGAAACTTCTGCTTGCCTCCCCTTCTCCGGGTCCCACTTCTCAGCCATAGAGAAGGCCCAGGGAGATGCTGGAGGGGCGGGAGACAGGCATGAGGTCAGCCCCACGTCAGCCCCTCTCCCTTTCCCCTCCGTGGCTGGGAAGAGGCCTCTGAGAGGGTGCCAGCCACAGTGGAGGTCTGTCCCCCGCTCTGGGGCCAGACCACAGGCAGCTGAGCTGGGCCGCGGCCAGGCTCGGGGGAGGTGTTCTCAGCCCCGAAGCTCCTCTCTGTCTGGCCCTCAGGACCCCTCCCCAACCCCAGATTCAAGCAGCCGCCAAGGGCTCTTCCAAGCAGGTGAGGTCATTGTCTCCACCAGACCAGCCTGACGCAAAGCAGCTAGCCACCCACGTGGCAAGATACACGCACCCTGTGCCCTCTCCGCTCCATCTCCCCTGATGGCAGCCCTGGGCCCAGTCCTGCCCACTTCATTCCCTCTGGGGGGCCTTTGGGAATCCACTCCAGACACCTGCTGGAGGGCCGGGTGGGCCAAGAATGAACACCAAAAAGAGATTCTGGGACCACCCTCTGGGTCTGTTTTCGTCCATGAAGACTGGCCCAGGAGCAAACTTGGGGTGACTTGGTGCATAGACAGGATCGGGAACCCCTGGGTCATAAGGCTGTTCTTAGGGGATACAACAGTATGTCTGACAGCTGATACTTTTCCTGTGCTCATCCTGATTTTTATCACAGCTTGGTCAAGACAAACTGTTATTTTTGCTTTTTAATGCTTCCCACTAGCTCCTAATACCATTCTGGAGGTCCAGAGAATTTCTGAAAAAGGTGTGGGGAGCTTTGCGGGCCTCTGGAGGGTCTAGTGAATGCGGGTCCCCATTGTGAGCCCCTTGAGAGGGTCCACACCTCAGGCAGTCAGAGTCTGAGATGGTTTTGCCTCCCAGGGATGTTTCGCTATGTCTGGAGATACTTCTGGTTGTCACACACTATTGATCGGTCACTTTGGGCATCTACTGGGCAGACACCAGGGGGGCCACTAAGAGACACCCCCCACCCAGCCAAGAATCATCGCTGCAAACTGTCAGCAGTGCCGTGGGTGAGAAGACTTGATCAAAATGAGTCTACCAACCAACCTACCGTCTCTCAGCGTCTAGTCTGCTCCAGATTATGGTGACATCCGAGATGTGATCCAGCCCCACTGAAGTGGGTTTCACTGCCTGGCTCATCCACATCAAACCTGTTTGCGTGTATATATATCCATGTACACACATGTGCACACATGTACAGAGGCAGGGGGTGGCTCCTGGGAGCCTGAAGAGACAGGAAGGGACAGGGAACTAGAGGACATTCACTCTGGTCTCCAGTGTTCCGCCCTACTGCTGTGTGACCTAGACCCATCTCTTTATCTCCCTGAGCCCTGGTTTTCACGTACAGGGCTCAGAGCCTGATTGTCTTGAGGCTGGGATCTAGCTGTGGAAACTGAATCTCTTGACATTTTTTTCCCAGAGTCCCCATTTTCCTCATAGGTAAAATAGGGACCTGACGTGTTCACCCCACAGACTGCTGGGAAGACATAAAATAACACATGGAAGGCACACAGCCCAGGCACACTTCTGTAGTAAGCATTTCATGGTGGCCCCTTCAGTGTCATTTTGAGTTCCACGCCAACCCAGAGTCTATGCCAAGGGATCAACAAACTGCCTCAAAGGGCTGGAGTTGTAGATAAAATACAGGACAGGACAATTATCTGGCTGTCCTTAAGTTTGATTTGCTCAATTTGGCTTACTGTTCATTTTTGCAAATAAAGTTTTATTGGGACATAGTTATGCACATTCCTTTCATACTGCTTCTGGCTATGTTTTTGTACTATAATAGAACTGAGTTTTGACACAGACCTTAATGTCAATGGAACCTAAGATAGTTAGCATCTGACTCGCAAAAAAAAAAAAAAAAAAAAAATCTGCCAAGCCTTAGGCTATGCTTGGAATAAAACTGCCCAAGGGTAGAGGTTGTGTGATTGGAGCCCACGGAGTCCCTGGCCCCTGCTGTGGGCAGTAGGCAGATACATTGAGAAGACAGTGAGCAGAGACTCAGTCACTCTAGGGACACAGAAGAAATCAGAAGAGCTGGAAGAAATCAGAAAGAGCTCTGGTTTGTGGAGACAGGGCTCTAGGTTCTAGAGCTGGCCCTGCACTAACTTTCAAAAGACCTTGGCTAAGTCTTTTCCTTTCTCTAGGTCCCAATTCTTATATTCTCCATTTGCTCAACAAATATTTACAAAATACCTACTATGTGCCAGATGCCTGCTGAACCCAGGGCCCTGCTTTTATGGTTTCTCAATTCAAATTGCAGTAGGAGATGATAAGTCTGTAAATACACAGTATGGGGCCAGCTAGGGACAGAATGCTCTGGAAGTATCTGGAAGGTACTGTGGTAGAACCTGAGACCTGATGAAAGAGCAGATGCCTCAGTTTCCCCATCTGCTTCTTGTATGGTCTTGCCAGGGGGACTCAGAGAGGAAAAATGGGTTCACTTTGGTCAAGATGCAGTGTGTTTCCTAAACCCTACTGGCGAAGACTCCTAAGTAATACCTTCCATCTCACCCTCGGGTCAGAGAGGACGGGCCACTGGCCAGCAGGGCTGCCACTTGGTGGGGTGAGAGTAGCGAAGAGGGGAGGAAGGGCTCAATCCCGCCATGGCCAGCAGCAACATCCTTCCTGGGCAGCACCCTGTCCCTAGCCTACAGCTCCCAGGCTGTCCTCACCCAGAATGAGGACTGTGCCTCCTGGGCTTCCTGCAGAGCCTAGATCAGACCCCTGGGCCAGAGACTACCCCTGGCCTTATGGGATAACCTCGGCTGTCCCCTTCAGGCCCCCAGACACAGGTGTTCTTGGAGGTAGGTAACACAGCCTAATCCTGTCTGACTGTGGGCAGTGGTGTGACAGCCATGCTCTCCCAGGCCCCCAGCACACCCAGCAGCATGAATTTACACCCTACATCCCCTCTGGCTCAGAATCCTTCTGTCTGGACGGCTTCTATCTGGATTATGAATTGCCAGTGATGATGACAGGAGGTTGTATAGAATGATGGCGGCTCAACAGACGCGCACTAGGACACACAATGACATTTTCATTGAGGCCTTCGGCGCCCTAAGGCAAGTGGATGACTAATGGTGGAATTTTAGGCACACGGCAAACCCGTAGGGGGTAGAGTCCCTTGGAAAACATATATAAAAACTTTGTTCCTTCCAAGCATGCAGGGTCTTAAAATCTACTGCATAAGACTCACCTCAAAGGCATCCATGCATTTAATTCCCTGGTAACTCTGTTGGAGAGGCAGACCTCATCGCAGACTTTCCCTCTGGTATCCACTCTTACCTGGCCTGGGGCCAGCTGCTCGAACCCCCTGTGGGTCTCCCTAGCAGGTTGGTCACGTGGCCATTGCAGCCATAGGACTGCAGTCCAGTAGGAGCAAGGAGAAAATAGAAGCCCAGGGAAGGGACCTGTGTTCTGGCGAAGATCAGATTTCTTGAGCCATCTCACCCCTTGCCTGGTAATTTCTTCTACGCTAGGGCTGCCTGAAATGGATGCTATTCCTTTCCATTCCCAGGGGAGTTCGTTATGCTTCAAAGAATAAAAAGATTTTGCATTTAAAAAGAAAAGTTTAGGAAACATTAGGTTTAACAAAATTGTGGGATTTCTCAGAGCCTTTAGAGCTACAGGGCAGGCAGGTGTGCAACATGTCCATGCACTGTTCTCTCGTGACTCTTCCAGGGTCACAGGCCATGGACAGGTGTGAGCATCTTTCCCACAGTTCCCAGTGGCCTGGCCACGTGAAGGCTGGCGCTGTGCTAAAATGGCCTCCAGTCTTTTGTCCTCTGAGCCCCCAGACTGCCTGCCACAGCCTGGGGCTTTTTGGACAGCCCGAGAGGAGAAGGGAAGTTCATCAAGCGCTGTTCCTCCTGTCTCAAATTGCAGCTTCATTCCACACCTATAAGTAAGAGGCTGGTGCTGAGCTCTGAGGGTCAATCCTCAGGAG